CTTAAGGAGAAAAGTGGCTAAAAATACAACTCTAAAGTAATTTTCTATAATTATCAGCCTTCTTACAGAGTGACTTCAGAAAATGCCAGAGAAATGCTTCAGTGTATCCTCAGATTCGGCAGCGTTGCTCCGAGGAGGAAGCCTAATAGTGTTTGGCAGGGGAGTAGCCCATTCCATTTTCTGAGACAAGCAGTGCAGCTTCCTGCCAGCGCTCTTCCCGTGAAGATTTGCGTGGCCGGATCTGGTATCTAACAATGTGACTTTCTCATCCAATTCCTGTTCGTCTGTGTGCTCTCACAGGGACTCTGCCATCTCCAGTAACAAGACCCCCCACAACAGCTCCATCAACCACATCGAGACGGTGCTGCAGCAGCTGGACGAGGTGCAGTCGCAGATGGAGGAGCTCTTCCAGGAGCGCAAGATCAAGCTGGAGCTCTTCCTGTAGCTGCGCATCTTCGAGAGGGACGCCATCGACATTATCTCAGACCTGGAGTCTTGGAATGATGAACTTTCTCAGCAAATGAATGACTTCGACACAGAAGATCTCACGATCGCAGAGCAGCGCCTCCAGCACCATGCAGACAAAGCCTTGACCATGAACAACTTGACTTTTGACATCATCCGTCAAGGACAAGATCTTTTGCAGTACGTCAATGAGGTCCAGGCCTCTGGAGTAGAGCTGCTTTGTGACAGAGATGTAGATATGGCAACCCGCGTCCAGGACCTGCTGGAGTTTCTTCATTAAAAACAGCAGGAATTGGATTTAGCCGCAGAGCAGCATCGGAAACACCTGGAGCAGTGCGTGCAGCTGCGCCACCTGCAGGCAGAAGTGAAGCAGGTGCTGGGTTGGATCCGCAGCGGAGAGTCGATGTTAAGTGCTGGACCTACCAGCTCATTACAAGAGGCTGAGCAGCTCCAACGAGAGCACGAGCAGTTCCAGCATGCCATCGAGAAAACACATCAGAGCGCGCTGCACGTGCAGCAGAAGGCGGAAGCCATGCTGCAGGCCAACCACTACGACATGGACATGATCCGGAACTGTGCTGAGAAGGTGGCGTCACACTGGCAGCAGCTCATGCTTAGGATGGAAGATCACCTCAAGCTTGTCAATGCCTCTGTCGCTTTCTACAAAACCTCGGAGCAGGTGCAGCGTCCTTGAGAGCCTGGAACAGGAGTACAAGAGAGAAGAAGACTGGCGTGGTGGGGCAGATAAACTGGGCCCCAACTCCAAGACGGACCGTGTGACGCCCATGATCAGCAAGCACCTGGAGCAGAAGGAGGCATTCCAGAAGGCTTGCACACTTGCTCGGAGGAATGCAGATGTCTTCCTGAGATACATGCGCAGGAACAGTGTGAACATGTCAGGAATGGTGACGCACATCAAAGCTCCTGAGCAGCAAGTGAAAAATATCTTGAATGAGCTCTTCCAACGGGAGAACAGGGTATTGCATTATTGGACCATGAGGAAGAGACAGCTGGACCAGTGTCAGCAGTATGTGGTTTTTGAGAGGAGTGCCAAGCAGGCTTTGGAATAGATCCATGACAATGGTGAGTTCTACCTTTCCACGCACACCTCCACAGTCTCCAGTATACAGCACACCCAGGAGCTCCTAAAAGAGCAGGAGGAGTTCCAGATACCTGCAAAGCAAACCAAAGAGAGGGTGAAGCTATTGATACAGCTGGCTGATGGCTCTTGTGAAAAAGGGCATGCCCATGCGGCAGAGATAAAAAAATGTTACTGCTGTGGATAAGAGGCGCAGAGATTTATCTCTGCAGATGGAGAAGTACAGGACCTCTTTGGAGAAAGCCCTGGGGATTTCTTCAGATTCCAACAAATTGAGTAAAAGTCTCCAGCTAGATATCATTCCAGCCAGTATCCCTGGCTCAGAGGTGAAGCTTCGAGATGCTGCTCATGAACTTAATGAAGAGAAGTGGAAATCTGCCCACAGGAAAGAGTTCATAATGGCTGAGCTCATTCAAACTGAAAAGGCTTATGTAAGAGACCTCCCGGAATGTATGGATACATTGTTTACCTCAGAGTTGGGTGTCACAGAACACTTTGAAGGAGACCCTTGCAAATTGGCACTGTGGGTGGGGAGAATGCCAACTTCAGATAATAAAATCGTCCTTAAGGCTTCCAGTATAGAGAACAAACAGGACTGGATAAAGCACATCCGCAAAGTCATCCAGGAGTGGACAATCCACCTGAAGGGAGCCCTGAAGGAGCCCATTCACATCCCCAAGACTGCCCCCACCACAAGACAGAAGGGAAAGAGGGATGGAGAAGATCTGGACAGCCAAGGAGATGGCAGCAGCCAGCCTGATACGATATCCATCACCTTGCGGACGTCTCAGAACATGCTGTACAGTGATAAGCTTTCTGTTGGCTGTGAGCTGACAGTGGTGATCCACAGCTTCACTGCTTGCAACAGCAATGAGCCGACCATCCGCTGTGGCCAGACCGTGGAAGTTCTGGAGTGGCTGCATGACAAGCCTGACTGGTGTCTGGTGTGGATCATGGACCGCTCCCAAGTGGCAGAAGGCCTGGTCCCTTGTGGCTCACTGTGTATCACCCACTCCAGAAGTAGCATGGAAATGGAGGGCATCTTCAACCACAAAGGTAGGACTCAGTAGGGTGTGGGCAGCAGACACCTGCTGGAAGTGGCCCTGGAGTGCTGTCTCTGTGTCTCTGCTGCCCGTTAATGTGTGTGATCTACCTTGTCAGCTGTGCCTTCAGCACATGGTCACTGTCTCTTGGGGCATTTCCAGTCCATCAGCACCTGAAGAGGAAATGAAGATTTTACCTAGGACTCAGAAATCATGAGTGTTCTCCTCACTTCCAGGGTGGTGTAGTGAGATATGACATCAGTCTAGAGAAGATCACTAATTTTGGAACATTCCAGTTTCTTCCTTCCTTTGCCATCTCTGCCTTCTTCCTTGTGTCGTGACACCTCCTGGAGGCCATCCTCAGACTCCAGAGGGTTAGTCATTCCATGGAGCTAATGAAGCTGCAAGAGGATACAGATACTGATCAGCTCCCTGATAAATTATAGGCCAAGCCATGTTCCGGATTTCTTGGGGTCTAAATGTGAGCTTACTGTCACTTCCTTAAGAAATGGGAAGAATTAGGCTGTTGTTTCTCCAGAAATCTGAAGAGAAAGGCAGAGGATTTTCAGATTTTGGCCAAAAGCCAAAAGTGTCCATTTCCATTTCTGGCGAAGCTGCCCGTGTGTTTTGACAGCGGTGGGCTTCCGCTCATGGAGCCTTTGCATGTAGAGATCGGGGCCATGCTGGCTTTTAGCCCACTGCCAGAATATTTCTAAAGTTACATTAATATAAGTCCTTGAATTTGAGTTGAAAATAAAGTACAACTTTTCCTGGAAAAAAAAAGGGGTAGGTTTTCCCATGCTGTTTAGCAAGTCTCATGAGATCTGATGGTTTTATAAAGGGCAGTTCCCCTGCACACACTCGCTTGCCTGCTGCCATGTAAGATGTGGCTTTTCTCCTCCTTCACCTTCTGCCATGATCATGAGGCCTCCCCAGCCATGTGGAACTGTGAGTCCATTAAACCTTTTTATTCTTTTTTTATAAATTACCCAGTCTCTGGTATGTCTTTATTAGCAGCATGAAAATGGACTAATACAGGCTTCCCAAATGTTACCTCTGCTCCCCTCAACCCTTCTTTAAAGGAACAGGAGGGCAGGTGTGGTGGCTTACACCTGTAATCCCAACACTTTGGAAGGCTGATATGGGTGGATGACCTGAGGTCAGGAGTTCAAGACTAGCCTGGCGAACATGGTGAAACCCTGTCTCTACAAAAATACAAAAATTAGCTGGGCATGATGGCAGGTGCTTGTGGTCCCAGCTACTCAAGAGGCTGAGGTGGAAGAATTGCTTGAACCCAGGAAGCAGAGGTTGCAGTGAGCCAAGATTGTGCCATTGCACTCCAGCCTGGAAGACAGTGAGACTCTGTCTCAAAAATAAAGGAATAGGAATAGGAGCTTCTGGTTGGAGGAGGAGAGTCAGCAATTCTAAGCCACTTCCCTGCAAAATGAGCTAACACAATGGGTTTCAACACCTTCCTTATACTGATGCCTCCCAAGTGTTTACCTGGACTTTTGTACCCATGCCTACCCCCAGACATCTCAAACTTACCCCTCATTCTATCCTGCCTGATCAGCTCCATTTTAGCAAATAACTCCACCTTCATCTTCACGGAAACCCAGGAGACATTTGGAGCTCTTCCTCTCCTCTACATCCCTCTCATGAGCAAGTCCAGTCCATTTAATCCTCCAAAAGGGAATTTGCATCTGCCAATTCCGCTGTCCACATCATATCTCACTCACAAGGCAATGGCCTCCTGAGGGTCCTAAAGGCTTCCCTGCTTGCAGCTCCCCATCATCGGGACCTAGACTGAGACCAAGCCCACTGAAACCCCCTTACAATCATGGCACTCCAAGGACTTCATCTGCAATTCTTGAAAATGGCCTAGAAGGCCTTGCCACATAACCCCTGCCTCCCTCATCACAACCTTGGTCCTATCTTGGGACAGTCCTGCCCTGCTGCTCCTCTTCAGTTACTTAAAACACCTCTTCTTTGTCAAGGCCTTTCCAAATTCCACAAAGCTAGCTCCATGTTCTTTGCTGAAAATCCAGTTGGTGGCACAGGGTCTGTGTATAATACATACTTAATGAATGAAAGATGAGCATCTTTGTAGCTGAACACCCAAGTACATTCCCTGGATTATTCCTTAATTATAAGTTCACAGAAATAAATTCACAGAAGTGAAGTTTTGTGCTTGCTTACAGGGGTCAGTTAAAGATAGGACATGATCGATCCAACTCACAGCTCTGAAGGTTATGTGGGTTTACATTCCTGCAGCAATCTGACCAGTCCCCAGCAGCCGCACCCTCACTAACCCCAGGGCAAGTTACATTCAGAGGGGCCTGCTGTGCCAAAGCTATTCTGGATGCCAAACTGTAGCAAAATGCTGTTGAGGAATTCCAGAGCTGTGAACAGACTTTCCATTTTAATCAGTCTACTCTGGGCCACTGCCTTTCGTGGGTCCCAGAAACACCTTCAGAGAAAAGCCTATTCCCCCATCACTTACCATTTCTCCTTTAATGATGTCCAGGATGACTGGGAGGTAGGAGTCCACTATCTCCTTGCACGAAGCAGACATGTTCAGTTTAGGAAGCCAGTCGCGGGTCTTCACCAAGTAAATAAGGAAAGGATCTCCTCCTATGAGAGGACACCAGGTCAGAATCAGGAAGGGCTTTCCTCCCTGGAAATAAACAGGCTGAAGGCAAGAAGCCCTCAATAGCTACCAGAAACATCGAGCCTAGAAAATAACCAGCCCTCGGGAAAAAGGACTTGGCTATGGTTAGCTCCGGCTCTATCAGATCCATCAGGCAAAAGCAGACATGACATTCAAAATGAAGGTCCTCCGACCTGCTCTCTCGCAGGCATGGGGAATTCTAAGCAGAGAGGGCCAAACTGGACCTAGGTATTAGTGGCAGCAACATGACATCTCAATTAACTGGGCATTTAGTCCCAGGGTCAGCAAAGCAGGCCCTTCAGCTTATTTTTGTACAACTCAGAACTCAGAGTGGTTTTTACATTCTTAAGGCATTGTTAAAGAGAGACTGTGTGACAGGGACAGTAGTTGGCTCATAAAGTCTAAAATCTTTTCTCCTTGGTCCTTTGTAGAAGACATCTGCCACCCTCAGGCCTCCACCATGGCTCTTTAGACACTGAAATCACAGCTCTCTTAGGAACCAGTGCCCATGCCCGCAGCTCAGGCCCCATCCCCACTCACAGCCGCTCACCTCGGTGGCATTGTCTTTCAGCATGTCACCCACTGTGGTGACAAAGTCTTTGCATATGTTGCAGGGAAGGGATTTCTAAGAGAAAGAACACAAGAAATTTGTATACGTAGTATACAAGTACACAAGTTCACACTCCACACAGTTGGAAACCCACTTGCCCTTTTCTGTATTATGTCTAACCAGGGATATGATCATGACCACGTTCCCCTGTCACATCCTGGCTCTCCACCCTGCATGAGCAGCGCTGGGGCACCACAGGGAGGGAAGGGAGTGTGACTCACTACAACACACTGTGCTTTACAGGTTACAGAACCTTGGCTCCTGCCCAAGCAGCACTCCACGTGGCACAGGTCAATTTCACATCAATGCTCACAACACCTTAGGAAACTGAGGCTTAAGTGAAATCACAGAGTCACATCAGTACAGCAGAGAGGTGGGTGGGACAGAGAAACAAATGCCCCGCCCACTTCTGAAGGCACACCCACACTGTGCTTCCTCTGCCTTTTGGGCAAGTTAAGAGGCACGGCCACCCCAAAGCCAATCTTCTGATAAGCCTAGGCACTAAGACCCCTACCTGGCCCAGAGGTCATGGAAATTCTAGTTGGTTCCTGCAGCTCTTGGGGAAGAATGCCCAGGCTCTCTTCTTGATGTCAACTGACTTTCCACCCATGGAGAAGAAACTAGCATTTCTGGGTGAGACCAAGGAAAGCCTGTGACTCAGCTGCATTTACAGAAACCAGTTTGAACCTAGTCAAGCTAATACAGTTGTCCTTTGGTATCTGAGGGGGTATCAACTCCAGGACCCCTGTAGGCACCCAAATCCCAGGATGCTCAAGTTCCCAGACTGCCTTCAGCATCTCAGCACAGTACCTCAGAGGGTCAAAGGTACTGTGCATGGAGCCACAGCAAGAGAGGGCTGGGCCATGACAAGACTGGCCAATCAGGGAAGTTTTAAAGTCCTCACTGGACACACATTAAACCTGGAAACAGGAAGTAGTATTAAAAACAAGACTGAAGGCAAATTAGAAACCAAATCTGAAAGTAGTTTCAGCCCGTGGTGGTAGCCCACACCTGTAATCACAGCACAATGGGAGGCAGGAGGATAACTTTAGCCCAGGAGTTCAAGACCAGACTGGGCAACATGCTAAAAACCCTATCTCTACAAAAAATACAAAACATAGCCAGGCATGCTGGGACACATC